ACCAAGCTGGCTGCTTCTGGGGAGTAAGATTGAATAGGTAGAGAGCCTTTATATTTTTTTACTTTATGCACTTGTGTAGTGCTTGTTTGTTTGTTTGTTTCTTGGATGAGCACGTGTTACTTCTATAATGATTTCAAAAGGCAAAGCTATGCCCAGTGCTGGAGGTTAGGCACCTTCCCCTAACCCAACTCTATAAGCCACCTTTCATCTCTCTCTTTCCGGAGTCTGTTTTCACTTATTTTCGAGAAAAAGATGAAAGAAGAGACAAATACACATGACCAAAGGACAGGAGGAGAAATTTAAAGTCTTATGTACAAAGAGCCATATGAGTCTGAATGCCTGGGACAGGCCACCGCAGGAATGTTAGTGATGAGCCTGTGTGCTCCCTTTCTTGTTGCCGCAGGCTCTGTGTCCAGGAACCACTGTCATAAAAAAGCAAGCAATCCCTACTGGGGGCATCCATTTCTGCAGGGGCATAGTTGTCATTCTTCTCTCTGGTAACTTGTTACCTTCAGTGGTGACAATATAATAGAGAGAAGTTTATGCACACCTATATTCCCATCATATTTACCATTGCATTCCTCCTGCCCAGGCATCCCTAACCCCATGTCCGTGACACCCACCCAACCAGAGGCATGTAATTAGAAATCAGGGGTTCTATACATTTGGTTGGGGAAAAAATTACATCTTTATTTCCAGTAACCTTTGATCTAAATTTAGCATTTCCTTTATTTATGAATGTAGGTAATAAAAAATAGTACTGGTGACGATGTCATCAACAAAAATCATAAATACTTTCATCTTACAGATGTCGTATATCTTTTGATTACATATCACTGTGTAGAAAGTATGGTAATAAATAATTTAATATGTTAAAAACAAAGTATATTATTACTGTATTGCATTTTAAAATTATTTTAATAATTATTAATTATAATTGGTGATTTTTATGTGTCTATTTCAGTTCATGCATTTAAAATAATTGTTTTGAGAAGGGAACCAAAGACTTTTTACTTTATGTATTTCAAATCATTGTTCTGGGATAGAGTCCTCCCCTAGGCTTCCCCAGACTGCCAAAAGAATCCATGCCTTAAAAAGGTTATGTACCCTGACCCAGCAGGAGTCGGTGGTGACAAAGATGCATCAATACAGAGGCGTGGGACACAGGCTGTGCCACTGACTCCCCATGTGACCTGGGACAACATGTTTTACCTCTGTTTTGACATCTATCAGACATTTTCTGATTCTGTGGCATCTGGTTATTTTTTAAGGTCTTAAATTATTCTGAAATCAAGCTTAGCAGTAATCAGTCCTTACAACTGGAAAAGCACTAAGTGCAATTTTCCTTTGATTTAATGAGTACGTTAGTCATTTCCCAGTGACCACTACTTTGAATTTTCCCAGCTTGTTAAAGAACTGATTTCTATTTTCCCCTGTGGAGGAGAGTAATACCCTTGAGGATAAATCAACAAGGCATTATTAATCTCCTTCTAGGATGGCAGGCTATATTTCTGAAGCCTATCTTTTCCTCTCCTTATTTCCTCTGTCTGCTTCTAGCATAATAGGATTGAGCCCTCTTAGAAGAGAACACCAGTTAGTTTATCCTGCTTAATCTTTTTCTTCCAGCTTGAAAAAGACGCCCCCTGCCCCCACCACCACAAGGGACTAGAGTTGACTTAGTGAGTGAGCTAAACCCTCTTTTGGCAAGAGAAGCTTGAAAGTAACTTTGCTCCCACAGTCCAGGCTGCAAAGCAGCCAGCCTTGGTGTAAGCAAAACTGGATAGTTTTCTTTCTATCTTAAAATCCCTTGATTTAGGTTCAAACTGTCATACGTTAGTTTTACTTGGTTACAGTTCTGACGACACCCATATTTTTCACTGTAGATGAAAGAGTAGGCTATTTAGAAATGAGTTAAGTGAGATCAAAGGCAATAGGCAGGGGCACCTGGGTGGCTCAGTTGTTAAGCATCTGCCTTCGGCTCAGGTGATCCCAGGGTCCTGGGATCGAGCCCCGCATCTGGCTCCCTGCTAGGCGGGAAGCCTGTTTCTCTCTCTCCCGCTCCCCCTGCTTGTGTTCCTTCTCTTGCTATGTCTCTCCTTGTCATATAAATAAATAAAATCTTAAAAAAAAAAAAAAAAGGCAATAGGCAGGGCACTGTGGCGTTTTAGAGCAGAAATGGGCCCTCGGGATCACCTAGTCCACCCCCCTTCAGTTTGGAAGGATTCATGGTAAGCCCGGAAGGCCCCCAGAATGCCTGAGTTAGGTGCTGCTTCTCTGCTCCTACAGGCCCTGGGCTTCTCTTTCCATTCACAAGGCACTGGTTTCTTCAGGATCCAGCAACAGCACAGTGTCCAGCACATAGGGTCAGTAAGTGTTGTTACATAAGCTCGGAGTGCGTATGACTGTAACTGGATCACGGGTCCTACCAAGAGTGTCTCCACGGAGACCCAAGTGGCTGGTGGAGGGAGCCTGAAGCCAGCCAGTGAGTTTGGGCGGCCATGGCTTCCCCTTACCACTGGTTCTCAGCACAGCCGTCTGTCTTCAACCCAGACAGAAGCAGGAAAGGCAACAAGAACGGGGTTGGGGAAATGTCCTGGGGCCATAGAGTTGATTGAGAAATGCTGTTCTTTGGAGTAATGACCCTTCCCATCTGTATAGGGAAGAGAATCCTTGTATTTATTAAGCACCTATGTAGCAGGCTCAGTTATGTATTTATATACTTTACAGAATGTATTATTTAATCCTCACAAGAACCCTGGTGATGGCTTTATTTCCATTTTCCAGAGAATAAATCGAGGCTTAAAGAAGTTAACTGATTGTCTCAGAATCATATAACTAAGAAATTGGGAGCTGAGATTCACAGCCAGGTCTTTCTACATTAAAGCCCATAAACTTTCTTAGTTTTTGTCTATTATGAAGCAAATAATATACGAATCCTTTCTAGTTATAAAAATGTAAAATATTACCCACCTATATCAAATAAAACACACCCATCTCCTTTTTCTGTCTTCCCCCAACCCACTGTCCTCCCCCAAGGACCCACTGTCAACACTTTGGCCTGAGTCCTTCCATGTATTTTGCTCTGCATCCACACATACATATATGTCCATAGACATATAGAGCAGAACAAACAAATACATAAATCAAGCTCAGACCTTTTCTACTACACTGTAGCTTCTTCATTAGGAAAAAAAAAATGCTAAGTTGCAACCAACTTTTACTTTTCCCTGTTTTATTTGTAGAGATAATAACTGTAATTATTTAGTATTTATTGACCACTTACTGTGTGCCAAACACTTCACTGAAGTGTTTTATGTGGATCATTTTATGTGTCCTTACAGGTAGTACCCTGAGTTCCCCTTTACTTACGAGGCATTTGATACACAGAGAGTTTACGTAGATTGCTCAGGGTCACACAGCTAAGGAACAGAACCAAAAGCCAAACCAGGGTTCTGGCTCCGAAGCCCATGTCCTTACCCACCGTGAAGATGCGACTGATCCCTCTAGAGTCAGGGCTTGAGGGTAACAGAGTGGCTTGTTCTAATTAACTGAGATCATCATTTGGTTCCTACCTAAGGGCAGAGATCCCAGCACACAGTGTAGAGAAATAACCTCTGGGATATGTCAGCGGCCCTCGGCCAATCCCAGCAGTGTCTACAATGCCATCACACAGCTAGCACTGCTTGCGTATGTATTTAGCATGAGTTAATGCATGAGAAACAATACCTGACACAAAGCAAAGGCGCTGGTTGCGCTTACATTCCTTAGTTTATAGTTCACAGAATGCTTTCACATGCAGTATTCCGTTTAATCCGTACAACAAACTCTGAGGAAAGGACGGTATAATTACGCCCATGGTATAGCTGAGGAGAGGCTCAGGTTGGTGAAGTGACTTAGGCAGCACCTCACAGCTGGTTGGTGTTTGGTGCTGTGACCAGAACACACACCCTCTGAGGGAGAAGGTGGTTTTTCCCCTATGCTGAGCTCCTGCTGTACCTGCCTCCAGAACTGCAGGGATCTGGTGAGTGTACTGCTTCCTTACGACACAGAGTTTCGAGAGGGATGAGGGGTTTCCTATTTCCAGAGTAGAGCTCTGGTGCTCAATATCCACCAGATGCTGAGAACACAGAGGGGTTTGTTTGCTGATGCATCTTCTGCATTCCCACTAACGCATGTTAATGCAAGCTGCCTGGCAAAAGGGACCCATGCCTCTAAGAGTTAAACATGGCAAAGGAAGATTTGGCAGTAGATGGTGATAGTCAACTCTCCCGGGGTTGGAAAGGTCACCCAAGTGCAGGCTTGTGGAGGCCTGAATATCTTCTGTAGCATCCACGGCAAATCGCCACTCCCACCTGCCCCTTGTCTTTTCTTCTTGTCACACCAAATATCCCCACTTCTGTTGTTCATACAACAGGGTTTCAAGACTCTTCGTCACTCTGTTCCTCCTCCTCTAAATGTGGTCCAGGCTGGATATTTTAGGTCTTGCACAGTGAGGCCCAACACTCCAGGTGAGGTCTTCACGCTATCATCTTCATTCCCCAAATTATCTTATTAGTGAAAGCTAGGAGTACAGCTTTTATTTTTTTGAGAATCCATATTTAAATCCCTATTGGCTAAATATATATTTTATCTGCGCAAGTACTAAATCCTATACTGTGCCTGATTCTGAACAATTTGGAGGATTTGGTGATAAAAGAAATAGTGGGGATACTGGGATAAAACAACCTTGCGACAGGAGGCTTCGAAACATCTAGGGAGAAAAAGGCTGAAGGGTACTGTTCTTACACTGTCCTTTCTTCTACCACATTTTCTTCTTTTATCAAAAGGAAGACTCAAAAAGAAAAAAAAAAGAAAGAAAAGAGAAAAAACAAACAAACAAACCCCAAAACTAAAAATAAGGAAGTGGAATTTCCTAAAACCTGGGTCAAAAAGATCTAATATCTCAAATTCTTGGCAGGACATGCGATACCCACCATCGCTTACAAGGTATTGGCCCTTAGGGCCCTTTCTCTTTCCTGTCTCAGGAACTCAAACATGACCAGGAAGATCTTCACAAGTACCAGGGAGCGGTGGAGGCAGCAGAACGTCAACAGCGCCTTTGCCAAGCTGAGGAAGCTCATCCCCACACACCCTCCAGACAAAAAGCTGAGCAAAAATGAAACGCTTCGCCTGGCAATGAGGTACATCAACTTCTTGGTCAAGGTCTTGGGGGAGCAAACCCTGCAGCAAACTGGAGTGGCTGCTCAGGGAAACATTCTGGGACTCTTCCCCCAAGGATCCCACCTGCCGGACAAGACTCTACTCGGTGACTACCAGGTTCCTTCACTTGAACCAAGCCACAGCATTGCGTAGCGGGGCTCTGGCTGTCCTCACCCAGGGCAGCAATTGCTCAGAAGCCACTGGCTGTCGACAGCCTTTTGCATGTTCCAGTGTCAACTTGATGAATAATTTGTGAGGCATGCATTTAAGCTTCAAGGAGGTGGTTCAGGGACAGCTGCAGGGAGCCAGACAGAGGCCATGAGGAAGATGGCTTTGGAGTCTGCCACCCGCAGAGCTCCAGGCAGAGCAGCCTGCCTCTATTTTATGGATCCAGGATCTGCATAAGATGTTGTTTGG